TTAAAACTATTATATGCTACCGTTATCTAAAATTGCAATTGGAATTCGATTACAAACTTTAATTGTATGCATTTATTATTTTTGGACTTTTATGGATTGTTGACTCAATTTCCGCCTAATTGGGCATACATTGTTGGACTCGTTCGAGTCTACCCATGTGGACTTTTCAATTGTGTTCACATACCAGGTCGTTTTACAATTACTTGATGGTATTCCTGTATACTTGCATACTTTAATCTCAATATCTGACATTTTACCCCCAAAAGTGATTACATTTATCATTATTATATTTATTAAATTATACTATTATAAATAAACTGATTTACTGCCTTGGCAACATTTTAAGAATTGCCATTCATCCACATCCACTTATTGATCCTGGAACTTTCTTCCCTTCATGGGATATTCTTTATATATTTGTATTGGGACACTTGATTTAGATGTCTTTCAACGAAGGAATTGTATATTTCAATATAATTATTGATTCGTATGGAATTATCTTGTTTTTTAGTCTTTATTTTTACTTTATTATACAATGGGAATACGATTATAATCTGGAATTGTAATTATGTGTTATTCTTTGTCTATTATGGTTTGTCAAATCGATTTTCGTTTAATTGGGCAAGCGTTATCCATTTCTTTTGTGTCTACTTCACCCTATATATATTAGTCGTCCGCCAGCATTTGCTATTTTGGTCTACGCGAGGTTTGTGTCCTCGCTGAGCCTCCCAAGGTTAGCTTACAAGAGAGCCATGTAAGGTACCTTTGTGCGAAGTTCTTTCGGACAATTCCGCGCCAACAACACACGTGTACTTCGTGTTAACTAAGCTAACGCGGAATTAAAACTACTAGATGAGGATGGAGGTGCTATCGTTATCTAAAATTGCAATTGGAATTTGATTACTATCTCTAAATATATTTATGTATAATTCTTTGTCTTTTATGGTTTGACGAATCGATTTTCTTTTAATTGGGCAAGCGGTATCTATTTCTTTTGTGTGGGATTAAGCCAGCATTAATTGCTCTTTTGGTCTACGCGAGGTTTGTGTCCTCGCTGAGCCTCCCAAGGTTAGCTTACAAGAGAGCCATGTAAGGTACCTTTGTGCGAAGTTCTTTCGGACAATTCCGCGCCAGCAACTATAGTGTACTTCGTGTTAACTATGCTAACGCGGAATTAAAACTACTAGATGAGGATGGAGGTGCTATCGTTATCTAAAATTGCAATTGGAATTTGATTACTATCTCTAAATATATTTATGTATAATTCTTTGTCTTTTATGATTTGTCGAATTGATTTTCTTTTAATTGGGCAAGCGGTATCTATTTCTTCTGTGTCTACCCAAGGTTATCTTTTCCCTATAAAACTGACTATCACCACCTTTTATTTTCGCACTACCTTTTAGCACTAGCTTTTAGCTCCTTCCAAGGTCAGTTTACACGAGGGCCATGTTGGGCACCTTTTTATATTGTGTAAAATTGCAATTGGAATTTGATTACAATCTCTAAATATATTTATGTATAATTCTTTGTCTTTTATGGTTTGTCGAATCGATTTTCTTTTAATTGGGCAAGCGGTATCTATTTCTTTTGTGTCTACTCAAGGTTATCTCTACCCTATAACACTGACTAGCACCATCTTTTATTTTAGCACTACATATTAGCTCCTTCCAAGGTCAGTTTGCATGAGGGCCATGTTGGGTACCTTTTTATATTGGTGCAGTATCAAGTATCGCCTTACGGATCATCTGGAAAGTGCATATGTAGTCGTCCGCCAGCATTTGCTCTTTTGGTCTACGTGAGGTTTTGTGTCCTCGCTCAGCTGGGCTCGGGTCACCCACCCGCGTTATTTTTTGACATATGTATCGCCTTCGTCAAACTTCCGCCTGACAGTGTCCTCGAATCGGATCGCTACCGGGCATGTTTGCGATTCTCTCCAACGGGCGGATTGTTAAGCTAGGCGAATCAGATCTCTCCGCCTTAAATTGGTTGATTTTTTTCCTATAATACTGAGTCTTACTTTTAGCTGCTTCCAACGGTAATTTACATGATCACCATGTTGGGTACATTTGTTAGAGGCGGATCGAGGTGCTACCGTTATCCAAAATTACAATTGGAATTCGATTACAATCGCTAACTCTATGTGTTTATGTGTATCGTTTTACAATTACTTGATGGGTATTCCTGTATACTTGCATATTTTAATCTCAATAATTGACATTTTACTCCGAAATTATCAAATTACCCATTCACAATCTTCCTTGGCAAACATTTACGAATTTCCATTCATCCACATCCACATATTGACTTTTTACTTCTCTGCATAGAATAATTCCTTATATATATTGTATTTGGGACACGCGATTTAGATTTCTAAGGGATCTATCTCAATATATCGGCTTTTTAGTTGCAAATGTGCAAATTTCGTTTACAGAATGGACTTCGTGTAAACTTTGAACAATCCTCTTCTTCTCTCTTCGTGGATCCATAGCTAATTCTTTGTGTTGCGAGCTTTTTGCTTTACCTTTGACTTATTACCTAAAAAAGGGGACTAGCGTAATAAATAATAATGAAATTGACTACCTACGTACATACATGTACATTCAATTCGAAATACAAGCAAAGCGATCGGCTACAAGTTTGTGCCACCGTCAACTTCCATGCTGTAAGCAGTACTGTTGAGTAATAACCACTCCATCATGATCGTGGATTCTAAATTACAGTCCGTAAGGGGATAAAGAACTCGGCTATACTCACTCATCTGATGGAACTTCAAACGGCCCACAATTTCTGATGGATTTGGCTTATCTGGGACATCAGTGATGTCCAAATGATATGGGTACTTGGCAGAGCCACAAATGCCCTTTTATCAACATTTGTTGTGACCGTTATGTCTTCAGTTTGTTTGGGAACCGATTCATTACATTTGTTGGGGTGAGACACCGTCATTGGTGCTACCTTTCGGTTTGTTTCAATATTTTTCATTGATATTGCAATGAAACACTTGATATACTGGCAGCCATTGAATATATTAAGCTAGCAGAATTAGACTACCTTTTAGCTCCTAACTTTAATTTACATGATCACTCTCAATAGCTCTTTCTAACGTTATTTTATATGATGACCATGTTGGGTCAACAATTGGAATTCGATTACAATCTCTAATTGTAATCATGTGTATCGCTTTTACTTGATGGGTATTCCTGTATACTTGCTTATTTCAATCTCAATAATTGACATTTTACTCCGAATTTATATAAATTACACAGTCTTCCTTGGCAACATTTTCCATTCATCCACATCCACATATTGCCTCTGGAACTTACTTCTTTTCGTGCCGTAATTCTTTACATATTGTTTTTGGGCCGTCTTGCTTTAGGTCTTTAAAGGATCTATGTCATTTTATCAGGGTTTTAATTGGAAGTGTACCTATGTACCTGAGTGTAGTTTCTTTTTCTACTTGTGCTTTCGTATTGCGTTTACAGAATGGACATCGTGTAACCTTTGACCAATCCTCTTCTTCCCTCTTCGTGGTTTAATAGCCAGAGTGCCTCGCAACAGATAATTTCTATACGATGCGATGTCATTACACCGTATAGGCTTAAACAATATGGATTAATGTCTTTACCTTTGACCTATTACTTAAAGTACGGATGGTAAACCTAATGATAATAATTAAATTAACTACATACATGCGAATTCGATTCAATAAACAAAGCGTTCCGTCAACCTTCATGCTGCAAGCACTATTGTTGAGTAACAATTTAATTGCTACTTGTCAGGATTTATTTATTTATTTATTATCCCTCTCTTGTTCTGGGCCCTCAACAGGCTTGCGCCCAATTACAGAGTGACCCGCATAATGCTTTTTAAAGGTGCCTCTGCAGAAGGTCTTAAGTTGGTGGATCACATGAATGGGGTTGGTCAAATCGGAAACATAATTTTAACCTGAGAAAACGCTCGAGTACCTACCTCGAAGGTGTCAGATATGTCTCGCCAATGCTGTCGCTTATACCATCTCCAAAATAAGGTGACATTTGGAAGGGGTCGCGTTTGTGGGGACTCTTACATGACCATTAATAACGCTGTTATACCTACCCCACTTTCTTCGCACCTGTGATGGAACTAGAAACGGCACACAATGTGTGAAGACTTTGGCTTACCTGCTACTTACATCAGTGATCTATTAATATTGGAGGATAAATTGATAACCTTACCAGCAACGAATATCCTGTTAATGGTACCATAACAATGAAATCGACCCAGGAAAATTATTGAGGAGACTGACACAAGGATCTATTCTCATAATTCCATGATAATGGAAATTGAGGGCTACATTAAGTGAAAAAATGAATTTCTGTAGAACTTTGTTTTCTTAATGCATTCCCCATGTATAGAGAAGAGTTGTCTGGAATGAGGTTCATTTTCAGTCATATTAATTAGGGCTATTTGGTTACAATTCTAATGAGGAATGAGTCAGTTCAGTATCGTGGAAACCGGAATATTAGCAGATCGGAAATAAAGTGCGGAAATCCATCCTCATTTTACTGAAACGCACTGGCAACTTTAATATTAGTAGATGATATTCGACGACGCCAGCCATGTTTGTTGACGGACAATGTCCAGTGTACCTGTACAAACTTGATTGATAGACACACCCAATAGGAGAACAGGGGGATCTTAACCATATTTACCTTGGGCGTGAGAATAACATACAACTTAAAGAATTACCAACCAATATCATTATCGTATTAGGTGCAAATAATAAACTGATCTACGATGCGTTGATAGAAGCTTAAATTACAATCGAAATAATAAATGTTAATTACTCAGCGCCTGGCACAAGGGCATCGATGTGGGGCTAAAAATCGGTTGATATACCTACCTATGTTTTTCATTGTACTATGTACGTTTTGTATGTCTCGCAGAAAGTAGTTAATACTGAAACGTACTACAGGATCCACTTACAGTAGCTGAAAACTGTCACAAAACAAAAAGTGGAATATGTGTGAAAGAAAAATATATTGACTAATTTATTACACACAATGCATTCTAAAACAAGATGACTCTATTTTTGAATAGTTTGTTTAACGATTGTTATTTGCGTTGCTGTATGTTCATGGCAATAAAGTAATGATTAACTTAACTATATAATACCTCTATCGTTATCATATGTACACTAGATATCTCAACAACTGTATTCAAAGGTACAACTAATACTTGTATATACATATAGTTACAACATTAATACAATTTGTTCAAATAGAGAGATTTGTAAGTGTTAGGAACAGAAGCAATAGGGAAAAGATATGTAAAAGATATGATACAATAATATTACATTGTCAGACTATAAATTGAAGGCAGTTGTAGCGATTCATTGTCATAGTAATGTTCGTAAAACGATATGATTACTAACATTTTGGAAGATTAGAAATTACCAAAAATAAATGTTCAATGTTTTTGAGTGGTACTCTGTAGGTAATACACAAGGCGTTACAAAAAGGATTTTTTAATTAACTAATCTAAAAATGGAATCTAAGTTGTTATCCTCATGGCAATAGTAACATGTTCAATCATAATGTCGCATGTTGCTATTGTCAGAATGGGGAAATGTAGGAATTCAGTCTTATATCGTTAAAGTAACTGGAACAGTGACCTTGATACCGTGTTTAATTCAATATTTCGTTCTCGTGGCAAAATGTAATTGTATGCTCGTTGTGTCGTAACATATTAAGGGCTTTTGCGTTCACAGTAATATACTTTATGCAACCGACGAAACCTTTGTAATAGGATGACGGCAAACCTGGAGGCCCTGAAAGTAATCCACCTACCAATGAAAGATTAGTAACTTATACGCATGGTGTTAAAATTTGTTACCTATCCATAGTTTGGAATTAGTATTCAATGATATGGCGCCATTATAGGAAATACCTTTAGTTGGTGCTTCTCCATCAACTGAAATAAAACCCATTTTCTTTCTCCTTCTCACCTCTAAAGTATGCCATTCACCGTCGTTGATCCTCGTTTTGGCTCTAAGCAACTTGTAAGTAAGGAAATAAATCGTTATGTACTTTACCTTATTGCCCAAAATACGTTTTGCTTTCCCAAATTGTAACTCATCTCAGGATAACCATCAACTATAGCAACAGTGAAATAATCTTCGGTTATGCTGCGACTTTTACTCCTCCAAAGTAACAATCCATCAGATACTGAAGTGCGTAGTCTAAACTCGTATCGATTTCCTCGCTCACCTTTCCTCCTGAAAAAGACACTGCTGCATTTCCTCTACGTCGGGATCGGTCTTTGAAAGTAGCATAGTGTTCTCATGCATACCCAATAAAGTCATAGAAATTATCGTCTAAGTCATAATCCTCACTGCCCTCATCGTAATCGATGTCTAAGCCATAGTGATCGGTTTCGTCTTCTGGTAGCACACCGTCGTCGAAGTAATAATGGTTTGGGCCATAGTTAACTTCCTTAACATTATGACTTATATTCTCGCTAAAGTTAGTAACAGTTAGTACATTAGAAAGAAGTCTTGCCGTGTTATTGTCTGGTTAGAACTACACTACACAGGCTGCATTTAATGGTTTTCTAGTGCAATGGTGTTACTTACTTTCTGTAGCCTCTGTTACGGTACTGCAAGAACGTGGAACCATTAAACTTAACGGAAGACCTTTCATCACGTGCTAAAATTGAATGGCGACCAAATTACATGCCGGAACTGCAAATGCCAACTTACAAATTTCGCAGTATCTTCCCTCAAATTTGGAATTGCACTGACAAAGATATTTATTTAGATATGGTACACACAACCCATTATTTAAACAAGGATTTTTAGTAACAGGACACGGCGATCCAGTGTAGACATCAATGTTATCGGCACACACTGATGTATTGGTGGAATGGCAGTTTGGCAATTTACCTGATATTGGAAGCGTTTCGCCGTTGATTATTAATTTTTGAATTGCTCCTCTAAAACCCTTTATAATTCCCGATAGTTTGTGTACCTCTTTCCAGTACCTGGAACATCAATAAAAGGAAGAGTTAATTTAAAAATTGTAACTTACTTGAGCGACCCTATGTAAAAAGGCAGATTTAAATTTAACTCCGTGAGTGGTGAACCTGAGTAGCCACGGACAACTGTGGAGTTATCGAAGTGTAACAACCCTTCGCGACCGTTTCGAGAAATTCGTGCCCAGTGCCACTTTCCAATTTCAATTTTTCTATCGGATCTATAACATTTAGGATTACTAACGACGAAATAAATCATAGTAAATATTTACGTAATATTTGCGACTCCACTTCCTAAATTAAATCTAAACTGTAAATATCCCTTTACCAAGTTTAAAGATATAAAATCTCCATGGCCGTTTCTTAACTGGCCACTATACAACAACATTCCCGATTCGAAAGTGCTTAAAAAGAAGACTTCCATAGAAAATGTTTTACTGATTCCTTCCAATTTTGGAAATACTATGTAACTCGAACCGTTAAACTGGGGAATAGACAAATTTATGCTTGTGTCCACTAAAATGACAATCATTTGTGGTTTAGTCAATCAAGCGAGCGGTTTTTCACCAACCTAAGTCGCAGTTGTTTCCTTTGAGGCCAGTTGGGCACTTGCAATCATAACCTCCACTTTGTAAGACGCTACACGTCGAACCCCCTTTGCACGGATTCGATAAGCATGCGTCGACCATGTTTTCGCAAAAATTTCCTATGTATGGTGGTTTACAGTCGCAGCGGTATTGAATAGAATCCAGCGCAGAGCAAATCCCGCCATTTAAACAGGGAAGGCTCGAGCAAGGATTTTGTCCGCATTCTAGTACACCTTGGACATTTAAAACTAGTTCATCTTTGCTGTCCTGTAATTCTACTATTCTTCTTCCTATCTTTAATTTCCTAATGCACCCTTGAAATCCTTGATCGGTCCCAATATTTTCGTATACTCTACATTTGGTGGTAATAAAAATTACAAATATGAGACGAAAGCTCACCTTGTGTAGTTAGTAGGGACGTATCCTACAAAAGCGTCTTCTAAAAGATCTAAAGCTCGCAAGGAGCCTTTAGATTGGCCCACTACATCTTCTCCATCATCAAGTCTAAGCATTCCGTCACGGTGATACCTTTTAATCACAGCTTTATGAAACTTTTTGAGTTCTAATTTCTCTACAGATGTAATAATGACTGCACCATTTCCTAAATTATACCTAAATTCGAGATATCCATCTATAACGGCCAAGGATATAAAATCGCCTATTCCTTTTGGCGTTTGTTGATTGTAGAGTATTACGCCATTGTTGGAATATGTTTTAAACTCTATCTCAATACTAAGCTTATGGTATGCTTTTAAGGGTTTTAACCGAACAGAAGATCGTCCTCCGAATGCCGCAACTTCGAAACTTGTTTCTGTAGTTCCACTTTCGCAAAGTAACCCCGTCAAGTTATCGGGACAAATACAAGCAAACATGGAATCTGGAAGATCTACGCATGTGCTGCTATGGTGACAGGGAGAAGAACTACAAGCGCTATATTCTTCGGTTGTGCTCGGTTCTTCGATACATTTCTGGCGATCTGAAGATTCTGAGTAACCCGTCATGCACGAACAAGCACCTTTCACACAATCGCTGTACATAATTAAGCAATCAGAATGTTCAGAGCACAGATCTCCTAACAGTGCAGTTACTACTCTGACAGTTGCTGGCGTGGGCCTATAAGCTGCTGCATAATTTTCACCTGCGTGTCCCAAAATGAAAATTTTGTTTTCATATACCCCACTTACCGCGTGTATTGTGAATTTTCTCTGAAAAGAATGGCTCGTTTTCGACTAGTAGTCGGTTGTCGGAATCTGAGCTTGTAGAATATGGTAAACCCTTTGACGCCCATAGAGGCGATCCACTCCTTTCGTAGTAATACCTCAGATCAGAAACCAAGAGGTGCCGAGTAGACTTTGAAAGGGGAGAGTTCGATTCATCGGGTTGTGTGAATTGCAAAGGGGTATAACGTTGAATTGGCCAGTCCGTTCCAGGGAGCATATGTTCTGTTATGTGATTGAATGCCTAAGATTTTTACGATGTGGTTAACTTCTTACCTTTACAGGATCCGAATGCTTGAATTACGATATCCTTTTGCAGTCGACAAGCTACTAAATGAAGTTGGCATGCAGATCTGTAAGTTTGACCATCGCTACCGCAAACAATCTAAGATTAGGGTGCATTAGAAGGGGAAGGTCTGAACTAAGGTGTTACTACCTTGGTGTTAAGCTCTTTTTCGCACTTATCTTGGCAATCGCACAGTGCATGGTTGCCCCGTTCCACGCATATGGCCCCAAAATGACACATTAATCCTTTACACGTGGTTGGTGGTAGAGTTGTCACATCAGCTGTTGCAAGAAATAGTTAGCAATTACCTTATTTTAGCTAATTATACCTGATACGCATCCGTTTGGTCCTAAAATCTTGTTATGGCTATTACAAACGGTACACTTTTGGCCTTGTATACCTGGCTTGCAAACACAGCGTCCTGTCATTTGCTCACAGTCCTCTCGCACCGATCCAAATGAAGAACAACCGCACGCTGTAACAATATAATCACCATCGTGTTGTGGTATATTATGATCAGCTTACGAATACAACCCAAATGTCCCACAGATATTTTAGGCAGTCCCCAGTAGCCAGGTAAACATCTATCGCACTTAGTGCCCCCAACGCCTGGTCTACAAGCACACTGCAAAGTGTCCGGGTCGCAAATATGCGAGTAGGATCCCAGTTTATTACATCCACACAGGGAGGGACAACCGGCAAAATTGACACCCTGGGCGGGAGTTTTCCCATCCGGACAACAACCGTGCCAGCTATCCTCGCAACCTTTCCCTTGAATAACGCTTTGATCTAAATTACACAGTTTTACATTTTGTTACTTGGAACCTTTCGTTTACCCTTGTGACAGCAACGAGAAAACCTTGTTGTTTGATGGCAATAGCTACCCGATGGACAATCCTTTCTATTCGGATCATTTCCACAATCCAATTCTTCACCAGTTAGCAGATCTACTAGTGGTTTGTCGCCATTACACGGTTTCACTTCCATGCCTACAGAAAACAGGTTACTGAAAATGTTCAAATCATCAATGGACGATTACAAAAAAGTAATGGGAGCTAAAAATGACATTTAATAGAATGCGCAATTGGGGCAATCTGAGAAACTGCCCGAATACCGAGTTAAACCTGTAACGTTCTGGCACCGTTACATCCAAATTTGGACTGGAATAATACATGATGTTGTTGGGCCAATTCGATTTTTCTTAAATACGTCACTTGAAAAGTCAAAAGTGTTCGTACAGTACCAGAACGCATAAATCAGTAACACTGGAAGCGAGGGAGGGAAGCAGAATGCTGTCTCCTTAAACAGGCTGGCTAATTTTGGGGATATTGCATTCTTTCTTTGTTGTCTTTGTGTTATGTATCTTATTTAATAAGATAAGGTTCTTTATCTATGTATACGTACTACCACCACAAAGGGCACAGTAAACAAATAACGGCAAAACATACCTACGCAAGTTGGTTCGATAGAAATACATAAGTATATACTTCTCACAAGGATACTGCACTTTTAAAAAATGTGGTAGTAATTTCGAGGATAGTGAACCTGCTTTTCATGACACACCTGGAATGGGGTGTGTAGCTCGTTTTCTTCTAATCTATGCAATGCCAAAAGTTCACAGTGCTTTTTTAGCGAATTTTTTAAAATTTATTTGTAAATTTCAAACTGACAAAGAACACGGTAGCCCCCAACAAGGTCTTACTGATGGTGGGGTCAAAGCTGGCTAATAGAATACTGATCTACCACACAAAAATGCGATTAAGTCTCTTCGATTTCACACGAGGACTTGATAACTTTTGGCATCTCGACTATTTATGGACCAAATTGCATGAAATTCAAACTTGGCATAGCCAGTTATCGCGTTGAGACCAGATTACAAAAATGGTAAAGTGCGTTGTATATACAAGCAACAAAATAAAAAATCATGCTTAGTTAGTAAGGGATTGACCTTGACAGAGATCGAGCGGGCGTAAGCGCAACTCTTCTTGCCTTTGACACGCTTCCATCTTCATTGCGCATAGAGAGGGGTAGGTGCGTAAGTCGGACCCGCAAACGGCTTGCGCAGGTGAGGTTGTGGATGTGGCACAGTTAAACTGGCATACGCACCGTGGAAAGTTGTCGGGACCCAATTCGCAAGTTGCTTCAAAATCGCAGTGGATGTCGAGGCACTCTTCTCGCTCTGCAGCATTTAATTCCAGTTCTGTCAAACTGAAAGGATTTTCAGGAGTGGCCACGGTTGCATCTGCAGCCGTTTCTGAGTTAACGAGGACCACGGACGGGAATAGAGTTGCTGGAGAGGATGTTATTACGTTGTTAATGACATTCATTAGTCGGTTGCTTAGCAAAGGGATTGGTATTAAAAGTACAAAATAAGCTAATGTTAGTACTTACTAAGAGCTCCAGTAACGGGAAATCTCTCGCTGCAATTTCCATAAAATAAGACACTAATGGGAGGCGTGCTAGGATTTAAACATATCGATTTTTCAAATTCACATTCATTTGCGTATGTAATCATATTTGACGCGCAAATGGGCTCTTCCTTAGAATCCTGGCAGTCGATTGGGCAGATACATTTACCATCGTGGCATTTCGCCCCATTCTTGCATTCGACAGATTTACAGAGGTCTAAAAAGTTTGTCACTTAGATATTTTCAATCTAAAAGTGCTATGTACCGCAATCTCCTTTATATGCGACTATAATATATTGGTTTAGCTTGCAGGACGAGATTTGAAGTTCACATTCACTTTTGTACGTAACACCATCTGTACCGCAGACCACTCCTTCTATAAGCTGAAAAAGAGAAAATGCTCTGCGTAAAATAAATACAGTGAGACCCCCGCCCCTTGACAAAAAGATCAAGCTAGATGGAACTATGGATATTTTATAAGTAGTCTTTAGAAAATAAAGTAACGGGTTTTCAGAGGTGTTATTTTGAATAGCCCGCTATTTCGATAGATGTCAATTTGAAGCTGTCATTTTTTGACATTAGACAAGTAGAAACTACGCCATTAATAAAAATGGAACGATACACGCTTCAACACCAACACAAACAACGAAACCATTGATCTTTTACGGGAAAAGTTTCCGGGCCGTGTTTTCTCTCGAAGAGGTGATCACAATTGGCCACCGACATCTTGTGATATGACACCTTGCGACTTCCTCCTTTGGGGCCACGTGAAAGACAAGGTCTACGCCAACAGCCCAGCATCGATTCAAGACCTCAAAGATGGAATTCGTGAGGCTATCGAGGACATAGGACAGCCACTTTGCCATATGGTTATGGAAAATTTCATGAAAAGGATATGGTCCTGTAGGCGTGGTCATGTAGCTGATGTTGTTTTCCATTATTAACGGCATACCTTCCTCTTTATAATGTAATAAATATCCGATCATTTATCTTAAAAAATTGCATTTTCCTTTGAATATCAAAATAACCTCTTATTGGAAAACCCGTTATAATGAGGTTGGATTCTGCAATTAGGGTGCCAGTGCTCGATGACTATGTCGGTCTTGGCTCACATGTAATTGAACAATGAGAAATATGTTCATAGCGAACTATTCATACGCTACAAATTTATAATGTAAGATGTAACACAAAATAGAGTAAAACGATTTTTACATTTAAAGCCCTAAGTGGTTAAGAATAAAAATTGCATACATCGCCTTTGGACGTTTCCCCTGCAAATTCACACCTGCCGGTTGTTAGAAAATACTTTCCGGTTCGATGTCGTAGTGTTGGTAGTGTAACAGCTGCTAATGAAGTTTATTATTTGTTCATTTTCATGCTCCAACAATTAAAACTTTTGCAAGACAAATGGGACAAGTGCCACGAACAAACGTAAATAAACCCTTTTAATACGTTGGATGACTTATTAGCGGAGCGGCTAAGTCTAAATCGAAGGTGCACAATTCATTCAAATAGTAATTTGGATGAGAAAAAACTAGGAGTTTCTCATTGTTTGTCATTTCCTGGTGCTGAATACCAATTTCCACGTTTCTACTTCGAAACGACACGGAAAATTGTGAAAAACTATGAAATGTTGGCGTTTTATTGCGGTTTTCCTCACAATTCGTAAATCATGCCTTAATAAAAAGAAAGATGTACGAAATTTCCTGTATATTAAGACCTTTGAGGTTTTTATCATGTGCAAAATGGAGGCACTACAGCCCAATTTTACTACAAATCGAGCAGAGTATTTTGACTTTATAACTAAAAATAAAATTTATTTGAAAATTATAAATTGCTATTACAAAACGATCGTTTAAGATTATACTCATTATTTTAATTATTTATTGTTTCTTGGAAAGTGTATTATCCCTTCCTCCAGTCGAATATTCAGTTTGTAATCAACGGGGATGATTTGACGTAGGTACTCTTGTGAGAAAATGCGGAAAACTGTTTCCTCGTGGTCTACTAGGTGATGTAAATAACTGTTATTACTATTAACATTAAAACGCTAGTTGGAACCTGGATAACAATAATTCTAAAGGGCCAGGTTTTGGTTGAAGGTCGTATGTTGTTCCTTGCATTTCGGTGGAATCTCAAATAAATTAATAAATCATTTACTCACTCTTCTGTATCACAGTTTAATAAAACCGAGCCTCGACTTCGTCGGCGTAATCGCTACTTAATCTACTTTGTTCCTTCGTTTTGATCAGGTATAGTACTTTATCTGAGCGTAATCAGTAATCACATCATTTCCACAGTTGAAAACGCTTTGAAAGCTCTGAAACGCATGCGCTAATTTAAAATCGTCGCTAGAATTTTTCCCCTTGGGCCTTGGGAATTATTAAAAAAAACGTAAAATTTGAAATTAAGTTCTTTGTACTTATAATTTTTGATTAAAATGATCAATAGAGTCGAAAAAACGGACCTTTTAAAGCCGGCCTGCCTCACGGTGGCGGACATTACAGTCGCACAGATGTGCGGTGTTTCACAGGGTTATGTACTCGGTTCTATCCTGTGGAATACCTTCTAAGGCAGAGGTTGGAGCTAGGTCGTGAAGTAGGTAGAAGCTACCAAGTGTAGCGTGATTACGATTCTGGTCTGGGGGTAAAATACTTTAAACTTTAAATAATACAAATATGCTGATGAATTGTTCGTTGAATGTTTAAAAGGAAACTATTTTGAATATATTAAGAATTATTAACTGTCATTTATTTACGTTTTTGCATTAATTACCAAGCGCTGAGTTAGATTTGTTATACATATTTATTGTTATATTTATATATAAAGTGGTTTTTTATTGTCTTGTTATAGTATTGTTCTCTATATGGCTTATAATATCAATTCTTTGGTTGTTTCTTGTCGCCTTTGCTGGTTTCCAGCTTTGCGAGAAGGGTTTTTGCTTTCCACAACCTGAAACGCAGGCCATCGTGGATTTCCCTGAGCCTCGACTTCCTCGGCGTAATCGCTACTTCATCTACTTTGTTCCTTCGTTTTGATCAGGTATGGCACTTTATCTGAGCGTAATCAGTAATCACATCATTTCCACAGTTGAAAACGCTTTGGAAGCTCTGAAACGCATGCGCTAAATTAAAATCGTCGCTAGAATTTTTCCCCTTGGGCCTTTGGAATTATTAAAAAAACGTAAAATTTGAAATTAAATTCTTTGCACTTATAATTTTTGATTAAAATGATTAATAGAGTCGAAAAACGGACCTTTTAAAGCCGGCCTGCCTTACGGTGGCGGACGTTACAGTCGCACAGATGTGCGGTGTTCCACAGGGTTACGTACTTCGTTCTATCCTGCGGAATACCTTCTAAGGCAGAGGTTGGAGCTAGGTCGTGAAGAAGGTAGAAGCTACCAAGTGTAGCGTGATTATGGTCGGGGGGTAAAAGGGAGAAACAAATGAGACTTCTCAACTCGTATTTCTTCTCTTCTCCTTTTGACTTGTTGACTGTTGGCCATGTGGGGTTGCACATCGTTCATTTTACGTACTATTTAACTTAATTTATCTTTATATCTTTTATCTTTATACTTTATTTATCATACTGCTTAGGAGCTTGGTTTTAGGTCGCAGGCTTCGTTTTGGGTGGTAGGATTCGTTTTAGGTGGCAGGATCGCCATGTGGGGTTGGGATTATTTAGTAATAAATGAAGGCATTTGGGGAAAACTTCACTGGTTCGATGCAAGTTTTACACTCCTCTTTAGCAATCGTCGTCAACCGCGATGTCCTGTCAAGTTAATGTCTGCGAGTTTGCCAACCTTGCTACTTACTTGTCTACATTGCTGTAATAGCCAATTTCATTACATATCGGCGGATATGATGATAAATGTCGAAAACAGCCACTTAGGAAAAAAGTAATCTCTGAACGACGAATGGTTTTTAAACTCGGGCTCTGGGAGCATTATCCCCACTGCAGATGAAAGCGGGGCTGTTCATTATAGATTTTCTCATTTCTGATAAAAGAAGTAATGTATGCACGTCATCGGTATTACTATTACTTTTGAAACAATTCATTTGCACCCCGTAAAATCCACATTTGTTGGTGCTTGTAGGTGAATTTACATTCATTGATGCAGTTAACACTTTATAAATTACTATTTCACATTTATCCCATGTCTTGGGCGAAGAAGTGTGTGCAAAAGATGTACTCATCTATCGTGTTCGAAGGATAAAGTATTAGCGCAACAAATCAATAATCAGCGTAGACTGTAAATGGTTCTAACACTTCGTAATTTTCAATATCAAGCAAAGACTATATGAATTATTATAATTTGTGAAGGCACCTACCTTTTTGTGCGCTCTGTTGTCATTGTGAGCCGCTGATTGTATGGACACATTACACGTGCCATTTTTGATATAAGGTCTCCGACGAAAGACTGAAAAATAATTTTGACACTTTCGCCTTTGGGTACTACGCTCAGTGCCAACTAACATTAAAAAAAAATTTCTCTGCACCGAATTTCAACGCCAACATACGTCGATCGTTAGAGTAATCTATTTCAGTAGTTATTATTTACACAATAAACTATAAGTAGTTTTCAAATTATGGGCGAAAAACTGAAAAATGTAGTAGCAAGTGGAAATTGGTATCCAACGCCTTAACACTTTCAATCAAACGGTTAACACTACAAATTTAGACAGTTCTTCAACATACCTTGGATTCATTACAAGACTTGGGACAGATGCATCGGCTTTCGTTGTTACAAGTCGGATATTCGCATTTACCATGTTCGCATCGATCTGTAATTAGCTGCATTAGGGCCTAGAATAAAACATTTTAACTAACCGCAAGGCCCCCAATACAACAATTTAATCTCCTGACTAAGCTCGCATCCCTCCAACCGCAGCTTGCATTCATTTCCGTAAGTGACTCCGTTAGATCCACACACGGGATCAAACTCGGCGGAACACGTGGGACATTTACACGTTGCCATTCCCGAAATCTCGACACATCTTGCTCCAAATTTGCACACATTCTGAGTGCAAGGACTAAGTGCGCTACAGTGTCCTGTATGTGCAACCTCCGTGTGGGTTCTCGAAATGCACGACGATCGTTTCAACTCGCATTCGGAGGGATACGTTAAACCGTCTTTCGAACATACAGGTCGCATAATGGGTTCGCAAGCAGGAGGGCACTCACAACGAGCGATTCCATATTTATTTATTGCACAACCCTGCCCCAAACTACACCGTACGCTAGTGCATGGATTAACTCCCGAACTGCATTTTCCACGGTATATTATATGAAGCGATCTCCTCGTCCTGCAAGCCTCTTGCCTCAACACACACTCGTTAGAGTACGTTTTCCCATCAGAACCACAGACAGGATTAAACGCAAGGGCACAGGTTTCACCGCATCGGCACACAGGGTTCCTGTGTTGGTCCAACTGGCATACTTCCGGATCAGGACACTCAATTTCAGCACACGGATCTAAAGAACATTTCACCATACATTGATTTAGGTTTTCCATTTGAAAAATTGCAACAAGGTTTCGGGATAAATCAAAATTAAAAAACTTGTGTACGTACCACATTTTCCGTAGAATTTGACTGTAAGGTTCGTGTTAAGATTACATGACGCTATGTTCAATTCACAAGTGTTCTTGTAGTCAACACCATCAGACCCGCAAACAGGTTGCAAAGCGGAATGCTCTCCAACGCATTTTTGAGGACATTCGCACTCACGTTCGTCAGGGGAGAATTGGCATTGACCGTCGCTTGCGCAGCTCTTTTTACAGGGGTTGCTGAGTTCTGCAAACGTAATAATGAACTAGTGTGATGTTTACAAGGGGTGAGGCTGAATGTGATAATTGTTCAGGCAAACTTAATAACTGCGACTTTGCATTAAAAAAATTACTTCGAAGCAATGGTTCTACTACTTTCGTCGTGGTTCTCGGACTTGCATCAAGAGTTTGATCCGCGGCTCTACAAATTTTATCTGCCGGACATTTGCCCTTGGGGGCCTTGGTTGTCATTAATCATTATGTATAAGATACCATTTTCTGGTAGATTATGGCATTCGTTTTGTACTAGTAAGGTCCACATTATTTACCCACCGTATTATTGGTGAAAGGCGCCATGGGGAAAATCTTGGAACTTGCAATCTATTATTTATTTTGTTATAATATATTTCTGGATGTAAGGGTATGCTAGTAAACAAAATTGTCGAATTTGGGACGATACCAATCCACATGACAGCCAAGAGCCATACATAATGGCAACGATCGGTCTTTCAAATTGTGGTAGTACATATGGTAGCTGATACGCATCACACCACAATTATCAGTAAAATGCCAACAAAATCAACACGGCGTTTTCCTCAACGCTGTGCGAAAAATTATTCCCACCGTCGAACAGGACTTTATAAGGCGAAGCGCTAAATTAATGTTTGAATAAATAAAAAAAAATTACGGAAAATGTCACTTGCTGCTTTATGATGTGGTAGTCGAAGACGTTAACTCTATCTGAGATTTGGGGTAGCGCCGTAGCGGGCGATAGCGAATAAGAACAATACCGCACACTACTATTTTCGGTTCAGAGATTGAAGATCATATTACCAATAAGTAAAATAAGGTGTCAATGCACAACTCAAGAAATTATCCATTTTTGAATAAAATAATATGCATTCTGCAACACTGGCATTTATAAGACTCTGGTTTACCTGCCAGTAGAGAAATTCGAATATATAGATGTCAGTGCGAAGAATAAGTGTCTTCATATCTACGAGTACGTAATTTAATTCGTTTGCGAAACTGTTATATCCAAGAGATATGTTTCTCAATTACACTAATGACATATGTTTCGTAACCTTTAAACTTTTTCAACAATCGCAACTTTAACATTAGAGCACGGTCCTTGTTGCAAGTCGGATAATCCTACATTAGCGCTGAAGTTTCGAGTTTAATGTCCATTACTTGAAAAATGTGGAAATGACGTTAACTAACTACAAAATCAGAATGAACACACTCTGGTTGATTTATTGTTATTATTATTATAATAGTTTAGAACCATTTCACTGTATAACCACGAACAAATCGGACAACTCCAATCACACGATGAAAAACGTTTCCAAGTTTATCCCAAGAGTCTTCGGCGAGATAACACTCTCAAAATATGTGGCTTTTTCATTTCCCCCGAGACCCAACAGACTCAATTTTCAGACTCACACGTCCTTAACACTATAGTTATTACCTAGGACGATCTTATAAAAACATTATCTCGTTATAGTTTATAAGGCAATGCATGTGCTCAAGTCCAGATAAGTACGGCATTAGTTTTAATAACAATATCCTTTACGAAGGTAAATGACTGCAGCAGTATCATCCAATTTTCTTAGTTAATTGAGTTAATAAATAATTATTTGGAAATATTGTATCCAAAATTTAATTAACGTGCGAGTATTATGTAAAACCTGATTTCGAGTTAAGATAACTTTATAATCTAATCTTGTATTCACGACAAAGGCATAGATTTTGCTTTATGAAAACGTCTTGGACGGCTACCTACCATTTTTATTTGAAATTAAAATCTTGATCGTAATTATTTATAACGGAAAGGTATTTAAAATGCCAGAAATCCTGAAAGGCATTAATTAATGAAAAGACTCGTGAGATGGATTTTACGTGTGAACTTTGTTAAAGCGTCTAAAAGCTGTTTACAAATACGAGGAAATTTAGGCATATATATTTATTGTGACTCAGTAGCAGCTAACAAAAAATACAAGCACATAAAATGAACCAAGTCTGTGCCTTTGCCATTATATTAATTAATGAACACTTACCGCAAGCACCAGAATATTTTTGCCTGATATTTTGTCGATTTTGACATGCCGATGCTCTTAATTCGCATTGATTCAAATACGTCTTGTCATCGGTACCGCATACAGGGTCGCTGATTGGTTTACAGTACGTGGGACATTGACATAATGCTCTACCATCAGGACCAGTAACGCAATGGGCACCCCAAGCGCAGAATGTCTTCTCACATGGCTCTGAAACAAAATTGCATTTTCAGTTATTTAATTTTTTACATAAATATTCATTGCAACTACTTGCACACTTTTTTACCTGGGACCCTTGGGACCCAAAGACAAGTCTGTAATAGTTCTCCCTTTCAAAATAATTAAACTAATAAAAAAAACTAATACTTCCAAAAATAATATTTATTTTACTGAAAATTAAACATTGAGAAAATAATTTATTAACATTCTTCTATATACCGTTAAAACACATTTAAAAGTTTTATATAAAGATTCATTGATGACCCTGGATCAATCCTATGGCGCTCCACTAAACGACCATAAAGGTTTTCTGAGAAACGGGGACGCGGATAGAAGGAGACTGCCTGAATACCCATCTTTGATTAGTTAAAAGAAACAACTGGAGTCAAGAAGAGTTAGCAAAGCAGCTGATACGGGCAGAGTTACATGCAAATTCATCACGTTGGCGTCGGAATAAAAACGATCCAGAACCTTTTCTCAGGATTCTTAACATTTTTGTGATGCAGTTCAATTATTTTTGGGAATTTCAATAAGTTTGATTGTTAAATATTTACAGCATCGTTAATCTTTCACTTTCTCTTCTTGTTATTTAACTGTTGTATTTGCTATTTCAAATATTTAGTTAGCTATACATTTTCTGGGCGATCCTGGCAATATGCAAACTATTGTAATGTCAGTAATGTTGTCAAATTAAATTGTGTTGTTGTCCTTACCAACGCCTTTCCTGGGCTTCAGAGAGAGCGGGTTCTGCTTAACAAAAATGGCATGCTTGGCACCTTTGATGCGATTTACCGGCAGCTACAAGAGGATTCGATTGTTCTTTCGTGCAGTTCAGCCTGTCTATTTAAACGTCGGTATCGTTACGGTTTTTTATCGGGGTTTCGTAGCCATAAGGCATAGCCCACCATCTTTCTGGTCTCAGCGACCGTTCTTGAGGTGCGCCTCCGGCACCCAACGAAGGCGCTTAGTTAGACTACGATGCTTGATAGGGACATCCTCGGATGGTGACGACGACGGCCCATCTTTGTGTGCTCTCATTGACTCGCGCGCATATTGGACTCTTTGTTACCAAAGAACCAAATAAATTATGTTATGCATTTGTTTAAAATATAAACACCTAAGAAACTTCCATAAAACTAAACATATTAATGAATTACTAAAACTAACCAAAACCTTAACATTTTTGTGAGGCAGTTAAATTATTTTTTGGAATTTTAAAGAGTTTGATTGTTAAATATTTACAGCATTGTTAATCTTTCACGTTCCATTCTTGTTAATTAACTGTTCAAGGTGTATTTATTCTTTCGAATATTTAGTTAGCTATAGCCACTAGAGGGTTGGATTGTTATTTCGCACTTATAACCAGTTCTATCTATTGCTCGTCAGTATCGTTGCGGTTCTCTATCGCCTGATTTGGCATCGTAAACCTTTGACTTTCTATTCGTGTTAATTAATAAATGAATAAATAAATAAATATAAAGTATAAAAATAAATAAATAAAATAAATAAATGAATTTCAAATACTTAGTTAGCTTGATCCGATCTTTCACTTTCTATTCTTGCTAATTAATTGTTCAAAATGTATCTATTATTTCTAATATTAAGTTAGCTATAGACTATAGAGGGCTGGATTGTTCTTTCGCCCCTATAACCGGTTATATTTTTTTGGTTGCCATTGTCGTTGAGGTCCTCTATCGGGGTTTCGCCTGATTTGGTACTCACCAGGCATAGCTTACCATCTTTCGAGTTTCAACGACCGCACTTGATGTTGCGCCTCCGGTAGCGAATTTTGACGACGATGTCTGACTGGGACGCTCTGGTTATGGTGCCGACAATTGCCCATCGTCTCAACGGCCGTTGTGTGCTCTCATTGACTCGCAACCACATTGGACTCTTTGTTACTTGTTGCAAGACGGGCCATGAAAACGCTCAAAGCAAAAGCCGACGATTGGATGGTCGCAAACTTTCGTCGTATTCGTTTGGCCCGAACGTATCCACGGGTCTGACGGCATCGCGACGTCCTACCGACCGAGAAGTGCACACTAAATATATATTGTATTATATTCCAGAAGTATCTGGAATACAATCATATTTGGTGTTTAATAAAGTCGATCCAGGATCTTAATATTTTTGTGATGCGGTTGAATTGTTTTTAAGAATTTCAATAAGCTTGATTGTTAAATATTAACAGCATCGTTAATCTTTCACTTTCTATTCTTGTTATTTAACTGTTGTATTTGCTATTTCAAATATTTAGTTAGCTATACATTTTCTGGGAGATCCTGGCAATATGCAAACTATTGTAATGTCAGTAATGTTGTCAAATTAAATTGTGTTGTTGTCCTTACCAACACCTTTCCTGGGCTTCAGAGAGAGCGGGTTCTGCTTAACAAAAATGGCATGCTTGGCACCTTTGATGCGATTTACCGGCAGCTACTAGAGGATTCGATTGTTCTTTCGTGCAGTTCAGCCTGTCTATTTACACGTCGGTATCGTTACGGTTTTTTATCGGGGTTTCGTAGCCATCAGGCATAGCCCACCATCTTTCTGGTCTCAGCGACCGTTCTTGAGGTGCGCCTCCGGCACCCAACGAAGGTGCATAGTTAGACTACGATACTTGATAGGGACATCCTCGGATGGTGACGACGACGGCCCATCTTTGTGTGTTCTCATTGACTCGCGCGCATATTGGACTCTTTGTTACCAAAGAACCAAATAAATTATGTTATGCATTTGTTTAAAATATAAACACCTAAGAAACTTCCATAAAACTAAACATATTAATGAATTACTAAAACTAACCAAAACCTTAACATTTTTGTGAGGCAGTTAAATTATTTTTTGGAATTTTAATGAGTTTGATTGTTAAATATTTACAGCATTGTTAATCTTTCACTTTCCATTCTTGTTAATTAACTGAAGGTGTATTTATTCTTTCGAATATTTAGTTAGCTATAGCCACTAGAGGGTTGGATTGCTATTTCGCACTTATAACCAGTTCTATCTACGGCTCGTCAGTATCGTTGCGGTTCTCTATCGCCTGATTTGGCATCGTAAACCTTTGACTTTCTATTCGTGTTAATTAATAAATGAATAAATAAACAAATATAAAAATAAATAAATAAAATAAATAAAATAAATAAATGAATTTCAAATACTTAGTTAGCTTGGTCCGATCTTTCACTTTCTATTCTTGCTAATTAATTGTTCAAAATGTATCTATTATTTCTAATATTAAGTTAGCTATAGACTATAGAGGGCTGGATTGTTCTTTCGCCCCTATAACCGGTTATATTTTTTTGGTTGCCATTGTCGTTGAGGTCCTCTATCGGGGTTTCGCCTGATTTGGTACTCACCAGGCATAGCTTACCATCTTTCGAGTTTCAACGACCTCACTTGATGTTGCGCCTCCGGTAGCGAATTTTGACGACGATGTCCGACTGGGACGCTCTGGTTATGGTGCCGACAATGGCCCATCGTCTCAACGGCAGTTGTGTGCTCTCATTGACTCGCAACCACATTGGACTCTCTGTTACTTGTTGCAAGACGGGCCATGAAAACGCTCAAAGCAAAAGCCGACGATTGGATGGTCGCAAACTTTCGTCGTATGCGTTTGGCCCGAACGTATCCACGGGTCTGACGGAATCACGACGTCCTACCGGCCGAGAAGTGCACACCAAATATATATTGTATTATATTCCAGAAGTATCTGGAATACCATCATGTTTGGTGTTTAATAAAGTCGATCCAGAATCTTTCTCCAGGATCTTAATATTTTTGTGATGCGGTTGAATTATTTTTGAGAATTTCAATAAGTTTGATTGGTAAATATGTACAGCATCGTTAACCTTTGACTTTCTATTCGTGTTAATTAATTCTTCAAATATATCTGCTATTTCATATATTTCGTTAGCTATAAATAAATAAATAAATAAATGAATAAATACATAAATAAATTTCAGATATTGAGTTAGCTTGATCCGATCTGGGGGCAGCAACTAGAGGATTCGATTAATCTTTCGCCCCTATTTCCAGTTCTGCATATCTATTTTCAAGTCAGTATCGTTGTGGTCCCCCATAGGGGTTTCCCTAATTTGGTACTCACCAGGCATAGCTCACCATCTTTCGGGTCTCAACGATTGCGCTTGAGGTGCGCCTCCGCCACCGAGCTTTGGCGGCGATGGCTGACTGGAACGCTCTGGTTATGGTGTCGACAAGGGCCAATCCTCCCAAAGGCCGTTGTGTGCTCTCATTGACTCGCAACCACATTGCACTCTTTGTTACGTGTTTCAAGAGGGGCCATGAAAACGCCTAAAGCAAAAGCTGACGATTGGATGGTTGCAGAGATTCTTCGTCTGTGTTGTGCCCGAACCTATCCACGGGTCCGACGGCATCGCGACGTCCTACCGACCGAGAAGTGCACACGAAATATATATTGTATTATATTCCAGAAGTATCTGGAATACCATCATATTTGGTGTTTAAGAAAGTCGATCCAGAATCTTTCTCCAAGATCTTAATATTTATGTGATGCGGTTGAATTGTTTTTAAGAATTTCAATAAGTTTGATTGGTAAATGTGTACAGCATCGTAAACCTTTGACTTTCTATTCGTGTTAATTAATTCTTCAAATGAATCTGCTATTTCAAATATTTAGTTAGCTATAAATAAATAAATAAGTAAATATAAAAATAAATAAATAAAATAAATAAATAAATTTCAAATATTGAGTTAGCGTGATCCGATCTTGCGGCAGCTACTACAGGATTCGATTGTTCTTTCTCCCCTATACCCAGTTCTATCGATTTTCAACGTCAGTGTTCTTGGGGTTGCGCCTCCGGTAGCGAATTTTGACGACGATGTCTGACTGGGACGCTCTGGTTATGGTGCAGACAATGACCCATCCTCTCAACGGCCGTTGTGTCCTCTCATCGACTCGCAAGCATATTGAACTCTTTGTTACTTGTTGCAAGACGGGCCATGAAAACGCT